CTCCCATGCTTTAGGATTGTCTGCCCTATCAGATTAGGGCTGTGTCATAAGGAAAAGAGGGAAACAGGGAGATTGCTGGTTAGATTAAAAAGGGTGCTGGAATGAAATTCTATGATCTCATTGTTTAGAAGAGTCACATAAAGTTTGTGTGTGTGAGTGTGTGTGAGTGTGTGTGAGTGTGCGCGAGCGAGCGAACGTGTGTGTCTGTGTGTGCGCGCACGTGTGTGCATGTAAAGGGTGGCGTCAGCTTTATCCCCTGTAATGACAGGGACCAGGCCAGGAATGCCTGACCCTGTAGTGTTGCATTCTGGGAAATAATGCATGCAACTCCAGAGTGGCCACAGAAAAAGTGATCAGTTGGCTGGTTTTCAGTTCATCTTTTCTTTGCTGAATTAATGTGAGTCAATTGTTTGAGGAATGTGAGCACATTCACATTTTTCTTTGCAAATGTTAATCAGGAATTGCATTGCCCTCATTTATATATCAATGCCTTCTGTCATGCTGTAGCATAGTAAAGGAGTGCAATTTTGGACTGTTTTACTAGGCATTTTACTGAATTGTGAGGGGAGAAGTCTTGGTACAAAATCAGGCCCATACATGCAAGACAGCTAAATGATTAACTCTACAGATGTGGAAACCATCCTGGACCTAAAGGCGTCGCTCTGAATGCTAATGTCCTGTGAAATGAAGCCAAACAAACATCTTCGTGCTCAATTTTCAATCCCAATCTTCCTCACAAGTTGATCACCGCTAAACAATGACCTTGGGTTGTATTGTTGTTCATTAGTGGACAAAGGCACGTCTCCTCATATCTCTATACGACACAAAACAGCCGTGGGATGCCGCTGGCGTTCCTGTCTGCGCTCGCTGTAATAAGCACTGTTGTTTTAAATCAGGCGAGCGTCAAAATCAGACAGCAGCACTGAGAGATAAAAGGGACAGCTCTTCTCGGGTCTGGCAGATGCTAAACGAGTTCATGGAGCAAAATGAAATGACTGAATTCATTTTCTTACAGCCCTTTGTGGCTCATCAGCTATCCTAACATTAAGTGACATCATTCTGTATCTCATCACAGCTGTTTTTGTGTCTTCTTGTCAAAAAATGTATCCTAAAACCTCACAAGAACAATTAGAAACTATGTATTGAGCGCTCCTACAGCCAAACAGCAAGGTGAGTGTAATGCTAAAGGGGGATATAGATATAGAAAAGTTTTTTCGTAATTTGGTTACGAAAAGTTTTTTCTTTTCAAACAATAGATTTCAGGCAAACATTCCTGAACAGATAATGGTTCATGTTGGGTTAAAAAATCCAAATTCTGCCTGAGCTGTGTGCAGGTTGGAGTGCAAACGCCACCTGTTTTTACAGGTTGAGGTTCAGAGAGAACCGTTGATGCTTCTGCTGTTTAAGACTGCAGATTGTTTTTGTGTCTGAGCTTGAATGTTCAAATCAACAGAATCTCCAGAGTGCTGTTATGGCGTTAAATATTAGTCAGAGAATGCAGTCATGCTTCATCCCCGTTCAGCCAGTGATTCATGTGAGCCAGCTGACTTATATATTGACTGAACAGCTCTCAGGGCGATGCCGGCCCCTCAAGAGTTTAAGTAGTCAGAGTCACGACCGGTTCACATAGTTCAGCCTCTTGCATTATTTATTTTAGGTATTTCCACTCAGCTAAGACGACATGAGTCAGATCTCTAGTGTAAATTATATTTTTTCCTCAGGTTAATAAACTTTTGACCTTAACTGAATGAATCCCATTTTAAAGTTTAAAACACCAGTTAATACAGGAGATTTACCAGGTGTGCTATTTCTGAGGATATTTTAACTAACTACAGCAGAGCATTTTATTTGATATGTGGTGATCTAATACACCTTTCCTTTTGTTTCTTTTATGCATTTGAAGTAATAATTCAGCAAAGAGTAACAATGTAACTGACTTAAAGCAAACTTAATGTGCTATCCAAATCCACACAGAGTGACCACGATTCTGACTCTGCAAGCTAACACACAATCAGGAAGAAATTATTTCAAAAGAATGAGACTCAGAAAGAAAACTACCTCTGGATTTTCCCTATGCCTTGTTTTTCTGGTGTTACAATAGGGGAACTAAAGTCCCAATGTTTTCTATGTTAACCCTCAGTTGTTCAGAGATGGAGGAGTCTCTGCAGGGCTCAGTCCACGTCCAGAAGGGACACTGCCCCGTGTAAAAAATGCAGACATGTATAATTGACCAAATGTTTCATTTTCTCACATGTTTATTTTGCATTATGTATTCAACATGTGACTGATCCGAGTCGCTCAGTTCATCAATGCCTCCTGCTTTTCAGCTACGTGCCATCCATGTCGTTATTTTTGTGTCACATCAAATGTGTTATTGGGAGAGAAGCATGTGAAGTGAAACTGGACCCTTGAATCAGACCCTTTTGGTGTCTCACTCCATGAAGAGTCACTCATGTCCACCGATTGTCTGATAAGATGCATATTTCATATATTCATTACACATTTCATACTATTCTAAAAATATCATCAGGACTGATTCCTGAGCGGGTCTGAAAGAAGCTTCCAGTGATGGATAGCAGCAGATAGATACATAATAACTTCTGTTTGTAATAAGGTACGGACAGGAAATTGAATTTACTTACTGATAAGGGGGCTTTTATTCATTTGTGTCTGTCATGTGTCGAGAGGCTTTTGTGGCTAAACCTGTTTGAAATTATGAGAGCTTTTATGTCCTGCCACCGACACAGGTATGTTTGATGTGTTTCCATGCATATGCCAGAGTGTGCTTTAGGGACGCTCATCAAACAATCCTTCCACCCAGCAGCCTGATGTGAAATGGCTGCTTTGCCCTCAGACCAAGAGAGGGACAAACATTTATTTGCTGCCGTACGCTGGACTAACTGAGCATTTCCACTTGACAAAACCCTTCAAATGTGTTACATTTTTGCTCCAGGCATTCGATGCTGCCCCTGTTATGCGATCCATTCACATGTGAGGGAATTTATTTGTCAGATCAACTTGCAGAGGCTTGACTGAAGCCTAGATGTGCCCTAAATAGCCATGCTGTGCATTGTCTTGTGTTGTTCGGTGAGTCTGGCTGCTTCTTTAATCCAACAGAAATATTTCCATTTAAAAGAAAAACATTGCCTTCATTTTTCACTTAAACAAGGTTATAAAGATAAACCTATTTTGCTGAGCACATGAGAATGGTTTTGCTTTATTTCAGCCCCTGTGTTCACATTTCTGATACAGTTCACAACATTTGGAAAAGTCCAGTTAAATTGTGTAAATGACAATAAAACGTGATCTAAATTATTTTAATGCTCTGATTTGTGTAGTCTATGGACCTATTAACAATTGACAAACTCAAAACAAATGTTTCCTGATCCAGTGAGTGTTGCATTGAAACGTGTTCATGCTTGAAAAGAGTGTTTAGCTTTTTCTAAGCCATCATAATCACCAAGGAATTTAAAAATCTTTATAAAGATTTAGTTTTGAGTATGAACAGTGTTGACCTGAGACTCTTAAAACTGTCAGCTGTTGTCAGGCTGTCTTAGCTCTTTTAAAAATGTCTATGTATTAATGGCTGTGCATAGGTCAATAGTTTTAATTACTCAACATAGTACAAGCCAGTGCATTTCCAGGCTGCTTTCTCTAATTTAGTCTGCAGGCTGATATGACGTCTTCTGTTGGATATTAACCTCATCCAACACTTTTCCTTCACTGCGTGAGCTCTTTGATATATGAGTACAATTACTGTTAACAGGGATACTGATCAATTTGTTTATTACGGGAAAATGATTCCACTAAAATCATGAGGAAAAACATTGTCCTCCCCACTCATTTGCATTCATAAGAAGTTTATCATCACCGCTGAGGTTCGTTTGTGCTTGGTATCTGGCAACTTGTGGCATGAGGCCAACAGGAGCAGCATCTTGCAAAGGCTGAACCATCTGTGCTCGTGTAAACACACACACACACACACACTCAATGAACAGAAAAAGAGGCAAGAGTCCTTGAATGTTCTTGTCAGAGACAATAAGCAGACAAAATGAACTTGTATTGGGTTGAGCAGTTTTTTGTTTTTTTACTCAGAGAAGAGGTGCAGCCACAGATTCTGGCTGAGGATTGGCCCAAAGCCAAATGCATCCACATTCTATTTGAGTATCTGTAGTCGATGTGACAAATGCATGTTTGCAGTATCGTGATTTTGCTCTGCACAAGTGTGCAATTGCCCAAGCTCAGTCAGAAAAGACGAAAAGCCGGAAGACTCGGGGGGTCTTGCTCCCATCAGCGTCTCATTGTGCAGAGTCAGCTTTTCTGCAGCCATCTCCATTTCTATCCCCCTCTGTGGTCAGATGGTTGCCCTCTCTGCCTGTCTTTGTAGCTTACCTTTTACAATCAATGCGCTTTTCCTCTCCTTTTTTTCACCTCCTCCATCTTTCTGTGCCCCTTCCTCCCATCCTCCCCTCCGTCCTGCAATGATACTCAGCCCACGTGAACAGTGGACAGAGCTGGAGCCAGAGAGCGTCCGTCATCCATCCACTCTGTCCCTTCCTCCCTCCTGCCTCCCTCCCTCTTCCATTCTCCCTCCCACCCCTCCCTCTTTGCCTCGGCTACGATCACTGCGCTCCCTATGCTCTGAGATGAAGAGCACACACAGAGGGCTCACTGCAGCCCATCTGATCCAGGTGGAGTGCAGCGGAACAGGCTGATTTGTCCATGTGAGAGCAGAGTGGTGGAGGGTGACCCTCACTCTCTCTGTCAGAGACCTGGAATGGGACTGGCTGCACACTGGATTGGTCTTTCAACAGGGGTGGCACTTGCTGCTGTTTGAGTTTATTTTCACAATCTGTAACAAATCCTGATTTCTGTGGTTGGCACTTTTTTACTCTTTGGATGGGCCTGGATTAACGCTGGATCATCTCGGATAGAACTGTGAGCAGATTCAGATGTGGATTTAGAATGCTAATGAGGAACACCTGAGCTGTGGGACGTAGAGCTCTGTGGCTGGAGCACGTGGACATGTTTGGTTTCTCTAAGATGGCAAAGCTGTCTGGGTGAGTGTGTGAAATCCTTTTAGGGGACAAAAGATATCAAAGTTCCTTATGAGTAAGCAAACCATTCCTGTGTATCCTGCTGTATTTGACTGTGTGAGTAAATACAATATCTCATTCTTTAAGGGATGTCTTGATAAGCCACTTGTGATCAAAAGTATCCTGCACTTTTTGAGGAGGAATAGTTCCCACTTTGAAACTTGAATGCAAAAACTAACTTTTGAAAAAAGTATAACGAGCAGGATAGAAAAAGACAGTTGCATGCTTGGCCACCATTTTTTCTTTAAGTGTTGGAATCAGCAATCTGTCAAAATCTTCTGTTTTAGATCAAGGAAACCATGCGATGTAGCACTAAAGATAATCTTAAGACAGAAGTGAAGTGTCAATTAAAACAAACCCTGTCCATTGTATGACCCATGAGTCATGGATGGTCACATCTCAAAAGTGACTAAAGCTCATTTACCAACTTTGCTGAGGGTTTGTTTTCTGTCACAATTCACTTTCTCTCCATGTTTTTCTATGACTTGCAGGCACAATTGTTCAAATGTCACTTGGCATGGTGCAGTTTTTTTTTTTTTTACTTAAGGCAATTTATTCATGTATTAACTTTAAATAAATCAAATGATAAGAAGAAACTATTGAGTTTGAGAAAAACTTTAGAGTTGCACACTGATATGATTGTGCAAAATAATATGGAAGCTATGCACTCACAGATATAATCAGGTTCCATCTTAGTCATGTAGAAAAAAGGGCTCTCAAACCCATGTGTATGTTTTTTTACATTAAAATGCTACAGATTATTCACAGTTTGTCAGGCAGGCTCCAAGAGTTTGCATCACAAGTTAGCTGTACTTTAAAACACCAAGATGGCTTAGGTGCATCCATGAGATGTCATAATAGAACCCTTCATTAACTTCAGTGAAAAGTCCTGGATGATTCATCATCTTTAAATGCTTGTAATACATAATTTAATGTATGATGGAAAGTCCAAGGGCTCCAGCACGTGACGTGTGCTCTGCTTTGCCTAATTGGAGACAAATTGGATACATGTCACATCACATCTGGCTCAAATTCAACCAAATTGACCCAGTCTGTCTTATCTATTTTATTCCATGAATCCTATAGACAAAGGCAGGAACTGTGTCAGTGTTTGTCGTACAGAGACTATCTTGGCTTTAGTGTGCCGTTATTTGGCAGTGAAACTAGCCAGCACTGCTTGTTTGTGTTCTGTATATCAGATTGCAGCAATGTGTGCCAGACCGCCTTCTACTTTATGCCAGTACATGTCGCTGCTTAAGAGGGTAGATCCCCAACATAACAAGTACAGTATCACAATCCATGCTCTCTTAATTTTTTATTCAGTGATTATTGAAGGACGTGATTTCACAATTTGAACTAAATCCAACCTAAATATGTTACCCTTGTTGCCTGCAACTGTTGCAAAATGCTAAGAAAATACTCCCAAAACTGAACGTGTCAGACGTGATATTAATTAAGACTAAATTTAATGCTTAGATGACTTTTTTTGTCTTTAACCTTTAATTCGTCAAATTGGCTGAAAAACCTTTTGGCTAATTTAATGGGTTTAATATCTTCAGCTTTTTTCTCCAATAATTTCAAAAGTTACTCAACTCCAGCTTTTGACAGTCCAGTTTAAATACATTCATTAAAAGCTTGTAATGTGTTGCAAATGTACAGCCAACTGATAGCTGAGAGGTGTGTTTTCAGATGTATTTTACATATACTCCCTAAAGAGGTGATAGGCTGAACATGACAGACTCAACCAGTAAGACATCAGTCTGCTGAAATCTGGTGATTTCTGTAGGAACGGAGTCTGAAAATTCAAAACTCATGACCAAAGATTTTATTTCTTATGTTGATCCTGTTTGGAATTGAGTGTAGCATACATGCTTATGGGGACTGCATATGTCATACTTTTAAGTTAAAAACCAATCAAAATAGTTTTATTTATTTATAGCTTATTTGGGCTGGGCTCTAAAATAGATAAATAAATGGATAAATTCACAGATAAATAGATCCCAACATCTACATGACTTCACAGTGTGTGTTTTGATTCCTCATCCTTTCCCTCTTCGTCCATGGTAGGCCCCAACATTTTAGAGCAAAGTCTTAAAAATGGCCCTCTGTGTGTTCTGTTTGCCAGCCATAGGCTCAAAGATGTGCTGCAAGTCAACATGTTGCAGCCCATTTGTCAAAATACAGAAATTAACATAAAGCCACGGCGTTGTCACTCCATTTCTTCCTTTGTCACTGTCTGCCTTTGACCCTTGAAGTTGTGTGATTTTCTTGATTTGATTCTGGATAATCCTCCTAAGGGATTTGGTTGCTGATCATTGCAGGAGTGAACCCTCTGCAGGCTGCTTCATTCAGTACATACAATCACATCACATATCAGACTAGCTCTCTCCATCCATTATCTATATGTCTACTCTCGATGGCAGCACATCCATCCACATATCTGTGGACTATCCCTGCTTGCCTTTCAAACTGGGCACGGACTGCTTCACAGGTGTGAGCCATGCTCAGCAATAAGTTTGATGTGCGTGTTGAAATAGACTTTGACATCTTAGGTTTGGGCATAAGCAGAAATATTATGGCATATTTTCCTTTTTAGAGAAATGGTAGAAGGTTTTATTCATCCCTGACTAATGCATATTTGTTAACTCTCTAAGGTGATTTGATAAAAGATACCAGCCCTGAAATGAAATGCTTTAATCAGTGCTCCTTTTTTTCACAGTTTCTTCTCCAGAGATTCATTTCCTGCTGAAAACGGATACTCTGTTATGATTACAGCATTTTACTTCCCAGAATTCCAGTAATCTCTCGGCACTCAGTGACTGTTGTGAATGGCTTTAGCTTCCGCTCTCCCTTTAACGTGTGTCTAAATTTAATCACTTATGCAAATGATGCAAAACTCATTTTGTTTGTTGCAACATTCAGATTTGAACTTCCTTCCCTCATCATTGCCTCGCAAAGGCAAATAGCTTTTACAGCAAACATCATCTCGCAATTTCCCTTCATTGTCAAACTGAAACTGGGTGAGTGTGATTGTGAAGTAGTCGTGCATAAAAGGGCATTCTCAATGAATTGTCACCCACGGGAGAGTGCCATGGGTCCTGCAAACAGAACAAGAATGTGACACACAGCGTGTGTCTCATACACAGCGGTGGTTTGGACACATCATGATGGGGTGCATTATATGTGCAATCTCTTTTGCTGTATCAGTGGATGGCTGCCTTATATCACTCATACTGTGACTATAGAGTTTTATGTTCAGTGCATCCATTTTCTGGGACAATCTTTTTTTCTTTCTTAATGCATATGAATGTGGTGTTTGTCCCCGTTTTTAACCCAATGACAGCCTCTGCAAGCTAAAGCACCAAGAAATGAGTCGACTATTAATCCATGAATGTGGATGGTTCACAAAGAGACATACTTTACACGTCTTGTAGCAGGTGTATATTAAATAATTTAGCACTTTGAATAGGTTTTACAACACACAGGGAATTTCAGTGGTTGTAGGGTGGAAAGAGGGTTATAAATATCCTCTTCATCTTGCATGTTAAATGTTCAGTTTCTCTGTTAAACACTCCCTGTGGATCTACAGAGAAAGAGCATTACGGGACTCTGTTTTACATTTGTCTTGTGGACGTGTTCCGTATGAGTTATTACATTTTGCATGTGAGGGTCTCAGGAGGTGAAGGGCTCTTTCGGTCCAAAAGTCAGATAGAGATAAGGTTAACTGAAAAAAGAAAATGTAAAATTGTGACAACCAAGTGCGGTCATACAGGTGGTGGATGAGCCCTCCCTGAGTTCAGCCGCTTGTTTGTTTGCTGGCTCAAGAGGCTTGTGGAGCGGTTAGTTCTGCTCCAGATACTAACACATCGTCCTAAAAGGCCCATGTGTAGTCTTAGAGCCGCACTGGCCCACTCTCCAAATGTAAACTATCAGCAGAGGGATCGTACTGCCTCATGGTGTGAGGCCTCTTGTGGATGTACTCTGAGAAACATGTGGTCTGGCCTAAGCAGGGTAACTACCTCCCCTAATTGGATTGAAATGGAATGAATAATAGAATTTAAACTAAGCTGAAAAGCCAAACATCAGCTCAGCCCTCATGATCTATTTTGGCGCTTTAAAGGTGTTTGAAAAGCTTTCCATTTCTGCATTTTTCTGAAAGATGATTTAGATTAGATTAAAAAACAAGACATTGTTTAATCACATATAGTACCCGCTATATTCTTTTTAAAGTTAGAAAGAAATATCAAGATCTATGGAGAAAGATGAACTGAGCTGTGAAATGCTTGATATGCATAACTTTCCTATTTTGCACAAAACTGTTCTTTAAAAGTAATTTGTGTTTCACAAAACCACACAAAACCTGATCAGTTGCATCCCCAGCTAAATTCCACCACACATCCTCCTGTAATATGTAAAGAAAATTATGCAGATGTAATAAAAATATTCAGACTTTTTATCTATTATCTTTTCTTCATCTTCCCAAAAAGTCAAGTGAAAGCTTGGGGGATGGAATTAACGGTGGAGAGTTATCACAATTTCAGCGAAGTGTGCCTGATTTGATCATGCATAACAACAGCAAATCTGGCAACTTAAGACTTTGAGAAGCTTTAGACAGTTGCTGCACCCAGATGTTGTTTGTGAGAAAGGAAAAAAATCAAGTCTCCTTAAATTGGAGGTTTTCATTTTCTGTTTGTCATTTTATACAATCTGAAAGTTTCCTGCTCTGAGTACGTCTTCTTCCTGCACATCTAAGTTTTTATTGCTTTTTTTTATTCACCCCAAATGCACCCCGAGCACAATAAGATTTTCATTCGAACATAATGTTTCAAGAGCCAAGATGCGAGCTTAAGTGTTTCCCATTCATCTTAATGATCATCATTCTCTGGTGTAATCTTATTCGGGGAGTTTAGCAATGCTTGTTCTGCTGGAGTATTTTTAGCACGCAGAATAACGCCCCAGTGTTG